CCGTGCCCCCGGGCCTGTCAATGGTGGGATTGTGCAGGGCAGGGGCAGGTGCTGGAGCGGGGGCACCACCAGTGGGACGGGGCATGTCACCCCCCTGGCATCGGGGAGCCCCTGTTGGCTGCGGTGGCACTTCCCTGCCCCCCCGCAGACCTGGACAAGCTGCTGTCGGACCTGCGGTCCTTCCTGCTCATCCTGGACCGGGAGAGCCTCAGCGCCGCGGCTCGGGCCAAGAAAAAGTCGGTGTCCGACCTCCTGTCCCGGCTGCAGAGCCCCCCGTGTGAGTGCGGGGCCGGAGGGCGGGGGGAAGCCCCCAGTGGGTGCCCGGTGGGCGCAGGGGCGGGGCTGTGACCGGGCGCTCCCCCCGCAGCAGAGGATGCAGAGTACATGATCATGCGCTGCCTCTCGCCCTCCCCGGGGACCCCGCAGGGCTGGACCGGCCCGGGTGAGTCGCACGCTCCGACCCACCCTCCCTCTCCTCCGCGCACGGCTGGGGGTGCCCGACCCCTCTCCGCCCCGCAACGCCGCTGCCAGTCCCGCTTTTCCCCCCAGGATCCAGGACGGCGGATGCAGCAGGAGGGAGAGGCTGCGAGTGCCGCCCGGCCAGCGCCCCCAGCCTGCACGGAGGGGTAAGGGGGGCACTGGAGGAGGGTGAAGGGGCTCTGGGGACTCAGGCAGCGGCACAAAGGATGGCAGAGGGGCACTGAAACCTCACTCACACGGGGGTGGGAAAGTCCCCGTGGCCCCGCTCGCTCCAGGCGCCTCGGGGACCCCAAGAGGTCCACGCTGGGGAGGGGCAGCACCTTTGGAGCACCCCTTCTCCCTCCAGAACAAGGTGCTGGGGGGTGTCTCACCGTCCCCACCGGCCGACGACTCGTACGAAGATGCCGAACTCAGGAGCGGATGCTCCGGTGAGGACCCCCCCTCTGCACCCCCCGCCCAGCCCCGGCGAGCGCCCACCCCCCTGACCCCGCCCCGGCCCGCAGGCGGGGCCGACACCGACAGCAGCCACTACGAGTCGTACGAGGAGGAGGAGGAGGAGGAGGAGGGTGTGACGGACCGTGCCCACTACCTGAGGTGGCCGCTGGGCGCCAGCCCCGAGGCCGAGCCCCCCCGGGCGCCCCGAGGCCCAGCTCTGCGGCTTCCTCTGGAGGAAGCGCTGGCTGGGACAGTGGGCGAAGCAGCTCTTCATCGTCCGGGAGCACGTGCTGCTGGTGAGGGGCTGGGGGAGGAGGAGGAGGGATGGGGGGG